CTGAACTGCTAGCCACAAGTTTGCCAGTTCAAATCCACCAACTGCTTCTTGGAAATGCTTTACAGGGTCGCAATGAGTCAGAATCAACTTGACAGCATTTAATCACCACCACCACCCTCAACTCAATCCACCTATCTACCTTATTGGTGTTAAGTATTGTCAAGTCATTCTGACTTATGGCAACCCTGTATAGGGTTTCTGAAGAGAGGCTGATGGGTTTGAGCCATCAACCTTGTGGTTTGTAGTCCAGTGCTTATCCTACAGTGCCACACAAGGGCTCCCTTATGGACTGTAAATATTATTTAGACTTAAAAGATGCAAAAAAAAAATTTTTTTAAATGCACACACCACCTATAGAATATGTTTGGCATTTTGATGCTCCTCAATATGATGCTTCTCATTCCTCAAGTCACCTTCAAAAAGCCTGAAAACAAATGTGAAAATCCTCTAAACAGGTGAAATAAATGAGCAATTAAACATGAGCAGAACCTGAAAGTTATTCAATTACATCTTGCACATGGTTTGCCTGGTTTCATCATGGAGACTTCATCAAGAATCAGATGCAGGTAGGAATTAAGAGTCATGATCACTTTTTATAACACACCCTCATACTTAGATAAACGTATAGTTCTAGGTCTATTCCTGACATATTTTAAATTTTGATTATTGATGCTTACAAAAACCAGGACCAAATAATTTTTCAATTTTATGTTAGTATCTACTGTTCCAACCCTAAAGGAAGTCCAGGACAGTGGGAGGAAGGGATAAGGTTAAAGTGAAAGTTAAGGCCAGGGCTCCATGTGGGGTATAATATTATTGATTCTCACCCCAGAACCTTGCTACCTCAAGGGAACCACTAAAATGATCATTTTTTATTGGCCCTGGTCTATTTCAATAGTTAAATATCTTGATTTCTTTCTTTCTTCTATCTACAAAGGGGCTTCAAAAAGTTTGTGGAAAACTTGAATAGAAATGGAATTTTTCTACAAACTTTTTCAAGCCCACTTGTACACAAATTACAGCTAATTTTAAGTGGAGTCTAATCTAGTATAAGAATACAGTGACGGTCAAAAGAAATTGAATCTGTGCTACTAATGGTTCATGGTGGGCATCAGCTCATCAAGAAAGCAAAAATTAGATTAGCACTAAAAATCTTGTAACTCCTTAAAAAGTCTAAATAAAATTCATCCCATTAGTAAAGATATTTATTATTCCCATTTTTTAACAATCAAATTTTAATAGCACCTTTTATCCCCCCACAAAACTATGTAACTTCCTCAAAAAATAGGAAAGTTACACAGAACTCTTTAAACATAAAACTTGCATAATTCAAGTGGTATGACAAGAGACACGAGGGACCTCTGTGGTCATGGGTAAGCTCTAGTTGTCCCTTAGCTTTAGGTCACTTTATTTCATAACCTTAGGCAAATTGCAGTGGTTTCTCTATATCCCTTTTCAAACTAATGCATTATAAAGACTCACCCTTTATCTTAAAGGGTTTCTGATGAACCTAGCAAAGAAAGAAAGAAATGAAAAGTAATAGATTGAACACAAAGATTTCCACATTGAACAACAGGGGTTCTAGATGACATGTGGTACCAAATTTATGTCCCTGAAAAGACAATGAAATGTCAGATGACAGACATTTTTTAAAAAGAAAAATCATCCTCTAGATTGTTTTAAAGCATATCAAACTGTGGGTTTTTTATTTGACAGTCTTTGTTGCTATTGTTACGTGCTGTCGAGTTGGTTCCTACTCATAGCAACCCTATACAGGGTTTCCGAGGAACGGCTGGATTTGAACTGCGGACCTCGCCATTCAAACCAATCTTTACAGTCTTGTGGAACACCAAATATGTAGAAATAGGAATTCCAAATATTTAGATTCTTTGAATATACAAAACCAAGTAAGGAATAAGGATCTAAAAGAATCAATACCAAGTTAACGATGTTTGAATTAATATGATTTAGGGCTCTACTGGAGTCCTGGTGTGGTGCTATGGGCTAATGCATCAGACTGCAAAGTCGTTTGAACTTCAAGGTCGGTGGTTCAAGCTCACCAGCTGCTCCTTGGAAACCCTGTACATGGTCGCTATGGATTGGAATTGACTTGATGGCACTCAACAACAGGGCTCTACTATTTTTCTTTCTTTTTGCAATTTAAATAGTTCCCTCTGCTACAGAATGCTCCTTAGAAGTGAAGAGGATGAGACTTCATCTCAATTACTTTGGACATTTTTTATCAGGAGGAACCAGTCCCGGGAGAAGGGCACACAGTACTTGGTAGTTGTTAAGAGTTGTTGAGTTGGTTCTGAGTCATAGGGTTTCTAAGGAACTGCTGGTGAGTTAGACCCTCTGACCCTGTGGCTCAAACCGACCTTATGGTTGAATGCTTATCCTATAGTGCCACACCAGAACTCCTAGTATTTGGTAGGTCAGTAAAACACTGAAAAAGCCTCAGAGACGAATTGACACAAAGACTGCAATGGGCTCAAATATAGCAACAACTGTGAAATTGGAGCAGGACCAGTAGTATTTCGTTCTGCTGTACCTAGGGTCACTATGAATTAGAAACAACTAGGAGCACCTGCCAATAACAACTGTTACATATGTTCTCATTTACTCAGATTGTTAAAGATCTATTTCTTCTTTCTTGATTTTAGAATATTTGTTGTTGTTGTTATGTGCCGTGGAGTCGGTTCCGACTCATAGCGACCCTATACAGGGTTTTTGAGGCTGTAAATCTTTACGGGCGCAGAACACCTCATCTTTCTCCCGCTGAACAGCTGGTAGTTTCGAACTGCTGACCTTAAGGTTCGCAGCCTGATTCGTAACCACTACGCTACCAGAGCTCCTTTTAGAATATAAGAGGCCTTAAAATTTACAAACTCTATTATCGTTGTCTAATCTTTAAAATTGGACTCCTGGTGTGGCGCTGTGGGTTAATGCACGAGACTGCAAAGCCGTTTGAACTGCAAGGTCGGCAGTTCAAGCTCACCAGCTGCTCCTCAGAAGCCCTATACAGGGTCGCTATGAGTTGGAATCGACTCAACGGTACTCGACAACAACAATCTTTAAAATGGTTATGTGCCGTGGAGTCAGTTGCAACTCATGGCAACCCTGTACAGGGTTTCCGAGGCTGTAAATATTTACGAGAGCAGAAAGCCTCATCTTTCTCCCGTGGAACAACTGGTAGTTTCAAACTGCTGACCTTGAGGTTTGCAGCCTGATTTGTAACCACTATTGGAGCTCTAGCAGCATAGTGGTTATGAATCAGGGTGCTAAACTCACGGTCAGCAGTTCGAAACTACCAGCTGTTCCACGGGAGAAAGATGAGGCTTTCTGCTCCTGTAAAGATTTATAGTCTCAGAAACCCTGTCTAGGGTCGCTATGAGTGTCAACTGATTCAATGGCACTTAACAACCCATGCCTCACTTCTCGATATGGTTTGGTTCCAAAGTCCCAATCATTATGGGAAGTCAGCATTCTGTGAGAGTTGAGGGCCTTAGCCTATCTTCAGTGCTGATATCCCTTCCTGCCCCTCTGGTGTCCTTGGTGCAAATCAGCACTGAGGAGCCCACAGGTGTTACAGGTGGTGATAGTCAGGTGTTGTCCACTGCCTCCCAAAGCTCACCCTGGGTGGGAACTCATGTCCTCAACTCTATGGGCCCCTTTTTTTCTCCCATTGACCTCCCCAGCACCTTTAGGTCCTTACCTGGCCTTCCCCTGCCCACTTGTGACCTCATGTTGGCCCGCTGTCACCCTGTGATCTTTGTGACTGCCGTCTTGGTCTTTACTAGGGCCTCTGGTCTATCACTTGGAGTAGATTAGGGAGGGCTGCAGTCCCATAGGGGCCATGGCAGGCATCAATCACCTAAGAATCCTTTCAAAGTTGTCATAAATGGGAAACAGTTGATGAGTAAGGAGTAGGTGGAGTCTATTATTTGTAATAACAGACTGGCTAGACTAATCAATGAGATATCAAAATAGGGGGCTTTCAAATCAACACTAACATCCCTAAGCAGCATTTAGACTGTGATCATTCTGTGCTTGTTTGTGTGGTTATTTGACCATGTTGATGCATTTGTTTGTTTATATTTTATTTGAATAAGTGAAAAACAGAAAAAAATCAAATGACTGATACTATAAGATCCATTGATCTTATTTAATATTTAATACAGGGAAGAGAAAACTGGAAATCAGGAGAAATACAGACTCTGTTATCTCAAGCGGGTATTTACAGGGCTTGATGGCTATATGCAAATGAGAAAAAGAGTAAAATCAAAGAATGTGTAGAAAACATTGGAAATACATTGTCTAAGACTATGTATAAAAAGTGAATGGAGCCCTGGGAGCGTAATGGAGTACGAGCTGCGCTACTAACGGCAGGTCAGTAGTTTGAATCTACCAATTGCTCTGCAAGAGAAAGATGAGGCTTTCTGCTCCCATAAAGATTTATAGTCTTAGAAAACCTGGTGTGGTGGTGGTGGTGATGTGCCATGGCGTCAGTTGACCCTGGATAGGGTTTCCGAGGCTGTGAATCTTTATAGGAGCAGAAAATCTCATCTTTCTCCCTTGGAACAGCTGGTAGTTTCGAACTGCTGGTCTTGAGATTAACACTCCCGACTTGTAACCATTACACTACCAGAGCTCCTCACACAGAGTGCCTATGAGTCGGAATTGACTCCACAGCATTCCGCCACCATGTATAAAAATTGAAGCATAGTGGGAAATTCCAAAATAATTACAGCTGTCTACAACTCCTTCCTGTGAGATCATTTATTATATACCACAGAACCAATTTTCATCCACATTTCTAGGAGTTCATTGGTATTATACAAAGGAAGGTGGCATCTTCTGCTAGAAATGAAAAATATAAAATAAAATTGGCCTAAAACCAACTTTTATATTTACTGGTTCTGTAAGATTAAAAAAAAAAAATCCATTTTAAGTAATCAACAAATGCAAACCAAGAAATGAAACTAATCTACAGCAAAAAATTGCTACACAAGAGACATTTATTATTATTCTGTTGTATTTACAGTTTTAACATAGCAAACCAAGGTGAATTACCACTTGGCAGAAAGCACATCATTCTATATTTATAATGCATCAAAGTTTCTGCTAACACATTATAAAAGCAAGTAGTACAGACTGTTAGGGATCGTCTTAAAAATCACAAGTCAATTCTTTCTTTGCTGCTAGTACCTAATCTTTCCCCCTCTCCCAACCCCTAGCCTAATCATGAGATAAAAAGAAAATAAGGGGTAGGGACTCTATTCACACAGAAAGTATTGAGAATTACATTTCAGTCATTAATTTGCATGTGTCCCCGTCGTTTTTATTTTATATAGTGACACACCTTTGGAATCCCTTAGATACACACCACAAAACAATTAGGCACAGCAAAATTTAGAATACAGACTAAAAAAAATTGAACACTTATTATTTACCAATTGAGAACATTGTTTTGACTACACCTTAAATGTATTTTGCACTATGATTTTGCTTCAGTGTTCACACAGTACAACTAAATAAATTTCTAGATCAATTTTAACAGCAAATATGTATTATGTGCATTAGAAATGCAGTCATAACAAAAGTTTTAACTTTTGAGAAAATCCCTTTAAAATGACCAGCATTATACATATCTTACACTAAAATATTTAATTCCAAATTCATTTTGAGATGGAGAAAGAATAAAGCAAGACTGCCCCCTACTGACTATAGGGACGTGGCTCATGCGATTTAAAATTACTACAAACAATATATAAGGCATTATTAATACGTCACAGACTTGATTGCGAGAGCTCTTCAAACATTAACCACTAATGATTCAATGATTACAGAATTCTGCATTAACTATTAAAATTTTACATCTAGGAACAAAAAGAGAAAAATGATCTTCTTCAACAGTACTTTATTTATTATTGTAAAGCAGGTGATTACTCCTCTGTGTTCTGTATCTTGATTCACTTCCTGCAGGTGTTCTCTTGCTTCTTGAGAGAGAATTCATAAACGCAGGAAGGCCTTTGCCAGAAAACATCTGCCAGAGAAGGATATTGAATATTGAAACTAGAGTTAGCTTGCTATTTTGGCTGAGAGAAGGATGTTGTCACAAAGGAAAGCAGGATGTTTGGAGCGACAAGAAGTACATTTTATATAGTTTTAAGATTACTATCCACTGACATCACAGGTATTCAATGAACACGAATCTTTCAGTCCTTAAGGTTATCAAGGTCTCCCAAACTATGGAGAATATAAATGATTCTTCTCAATACTCCTGAAGTCAGAGGTCCTCCTCTCTCCAAAGGGCTGAACAAAAGGACAGGGAGAAGCAGCACTTCTTCATGCTGCATGTAGACACTAACCCAGGAGAATGCACACATGTACATTCAACTTTCTTAAGACACCCGAAGTTACGGCTTACTCTGACAATTCTGCCAGATCTTTCACAATCAAGACTTCCTAAAAGGATGCCAAATGATGACATTCTGTACTGAAACAGGGCATGACATATTCACAGGTACCACAGAAAGTTTTTCTTTTCTTTTCTTTTTAAGGAGCACTGTACCTTTTGAGTCTATATTGCTGGAAAATACCAGATCTATATAACCCCAAGCTAATTTTAAGAAAGAAAAAGAACTAAAGGCTCTCAAAATCATGCCCTTATGCATTGTAGGATACTGGACTGCTAACCAAAAGGTCAGTGCTTCAATCCCACCAGGCTGCTCTTTGGAAACCCTAATCGGGGTCTGAGTCGGAACCAACTCGACAGCACTAACAACAGCATCTTGCTATATGCAATTTTTATCCAATACTTGGGTGCACTTCTGTACAGGCATAATAAATTATTTTTGGTTCTCATGGAAACAACATGCGAAAGATGTAAGTAACTCCCTATACGAATGCTAAACGAAGGAAGAGCAAGAGATAGATTAACTAGTTAACAAATATGTACCGAGAAACTGCTTTGTAGTACCTGGTACCCACTGAGGCTTGGTAAGTCCTTAACTTACTTTTGCTTCTCTTCAAATTACTCTGAGAGGCACAGGAAACCTTTTTTAAAATATATTATTTCTTGACTATACTACTGTATAAACTTTTAAAAGGTTTCCAAAATGCATAGAAGCTACAACACTGGGGGAAAGACACATCTTTTAAATTGTCAACATTCTCCCCAACTCCAAACTCAGTTTTGTTCTGATTTGAAGCAAACATGGATAACTTTTCTTTATATTGAGAGACTGAAAGACTGCAGAATTAACAGCGACATCAGAAACCCAAGAAAATACAGAACTCTAGAAGTTAAGCAGAAGCAAAAAGAAAACTGGTTTACTGATGTCAAATGAAGGTTTTTGCAATGAGGTCAGATTCATTACAGACTTGGGTAATTCAGCTTTTATCAGTTTCCATTAATTGATAAAATAATGACTACTAGGTTAAAACATGAATTTATAAGGAGATACAATGTACTCCGGGGTCCTAGTGTGGTTCTGTAGGATAAGCACTGGACCACAAAGTCGGTTTGAACCACAAGGTCGGCGGTTCAAGATCCTCTGAAACCCTATATGGGGTTGCTATAGGTTGGAACAGACTTGACGGCACTTAATAACAACAGGTTATACCAATGGGTGATCGTCTCAATCACCATGCAAACACCAAATGAAAACAGATTGCTGGAGAGACTTTGCTTGTTGCCTAAGAGCTACAGGTCCTTTCAGATCGACTTGACCCACAGTGTTGCAGAAACAATGATGGCACATGCAATGGAGGGGGAACAGGTATTCAAACTGGACACAGCAGATCAGATTGCTGTGAAGACACCCCAAGAGCTGGCTTCATGGATGTGATGTGAATATTGAAGCAAAAATTCCACTGAAGACCTTTCTGAGGTTTTACTACTTTAGTATATTGTTGTTTATTGCTGTCAAGTTGGTTCCAACTCATAGCAACCCAGTACTACAACTTTAATATAACACATAGCAATAAATCAAACTTTAACTGAAGATGAATCTTCTTTGATAAAACAAGATCTGATTAGGACAGAGAAGAAAGATGGCTGATAAAAATGGAGAGATGTAAACATTTGTCGTCACACGGGGAAAAAAAAAGGTAAATTACTTGATGCCTAATAGGTAAATATAACTCAAGGAGCATATTGGCTCTATAGAATAAGCACTGGACTGCAAACCATAACGTCAGCAGTTCAAGTCCATCAGCCATGACACAGGCGAAAGATGAAGCTTCCTGCTCTGCTCCCGTAAAGATGTACAGCTTTGGAAACCCTATAGAGGGTTGCTATGAGTCAGAACAGACTCAATGACAACTCACTAGGTCAGAGTAATCACTTTCTAGTTACAGAGGTTCCTGATTCACTAATACCAACACTTAAAAACTTCTATTTCAGATGTGATTTAAATAATACATTTGAAAACATATTATGTTTCACATGTGTAAGTACTTTTGGAAGCATCAAAGAAATTGGGATGTTGCATTAAGAAAAAGTATGGACATGTTTTTAATCATTTCTGATTAAAGTGGTGTCTAAAGGGATCTGGAGTCCTGGTGTGGTGCTGTGGGTAAATGCGCCAGACCGAAAAGCTGTTTGAACTGCAGTGTTGGTGGTTCAAGCTCACCAGCTGCTCCTGGGAAACCCTATACAGGGTAGCTAAGAGTTGGAACCAACTCGACAGCACTTAATGACAACAAAAGGTATCTGTTTCTTTTTAAATTGTGCATAGCAATAGTCCCATTTTCTCAGCTTTCTTTACTGTCCACTGTATCTGCCTCTACTAGTAATTCCTTCTGGCTTTTTGTTGTGGGCTAGGAAACAAGAGTATGGTGCTTATTAAGACAGGATCTTTTAAAAAGGGTACCTGGGCTCTGAAAGAGCACCTGGGAGCAGCCACTGTGATTGCAGTCCATGAGCTTTTATAACATATGCTTTGGCTAATTAGAAAGAAGTCTTTTGAGGTAATTTTGTTCTATGTTTTAATAGATGGCAACAAAAGGTCACTTTTAGTGTAAGTATTGGGAGTTACTTACAGTTTTTCCCAAGTTGTTTCCATGAGAACCAAAAATAATTTATTATGCCAGTATAGAAGTGCCTCAAAGTACTGGATGAAAACTGCATATAGCAAAACACAGAAGCGACATTTTGAGAGCCCTTTTTTTCAGTCATACTTGTTTCCTTTCTTAAAATTAGTTTGGGGCTATATAGCATTAGGAGTAAATGGAGGATATGAAATGTGTAGCTAATTGCATCCATGAAGAATTTTTGCCATGAAACCAGAACAGAATGCTTCCTAGCTACCATTACTGAACATTTAAATCAAAGATTCTATAAATGAATTTTGATCAAAAGGGGAGAAATGCAGAACAGAAGTTAATATTCCCATGGAACAGAGTTTTTCTGTAGTCAAGGAGGATGAATAAACCCCTGTAACTACTGCCCTAAGATAACCTTTAAAACTTGAATAGCCCTTAGTGACCCTTCAGGTCTGGAAATAAACTCACCCTCATGGCTCAATTTTCAGCCAAACAATATTCAGGTCTTTAAGAGGAGCAATGACACTTGTGAGGTATACACAGTTTAGAATAACCGACCATTTGAGATCACAAGAGCAGCATTTACCCAAGAACAAAGTTCAGAAGGGTTAGAAAAGGAGGAGGAATGGAAACAGGACACACAGGGAGTAATGATGGGATAAGTGATATTACATTGTGGGGATTGAAGTCAATGAGACAAAACAAAATGTGTGTAAATTATTGAATGGAAAACTGAATAGCTCTGTTAATTCTTTACCTAATTTACAATTTAAATTAATTTAAAAAGGACTTCCAGCAAGATGGTGGACTAGGCAGACATACTATATGGACCCTTTACAACAAAGATATGAGAAACAAAATAAAACAGACACAGATGAAAATTCTGGCACTCTGATCTTCAGAAGGAAGGTTAGTGAAGCTGAGCAGGGACAACGAGAGAGGGAGACTGCCAAGTGAATGGCTGGCCAGGTACAGCTCTACCATCTTGTGAGCAGCTTTGGCAGTGGAAGAAGGCCTGGTAGACCAGATTCTCCTCACATTCCCCTGGTGACCAGAAGTGTGGCCAGACCCCAACCTCATCACCCCCAGCAGAGAACCTGCTCTCCGATAGTTCAGAGCCACGTGGTTGGGAGCCATGCCAGTGTGCGGTGGGGGCTAGCTGAACCGCTTTGGTGTCTAAATTCAGATAGGCTCAGCTCCAGACCTACAATTTCTGCAAGCCACCACACCAGCATTTGACCAGCCATGCTGCTCCCAGCTTCCTGTGGACCTAAAAGACACTGAAACCAGCTCCATTAATGGCCCCCACAAACTACTTCCTGATTAAGTACTTTGAACATAGATAATACAGAGGCCAATAGGAACTCCATCTAGGGCCAGGAACTCTGCGGTCACATCCCTCATGCCACACCTCTTGAGCTCCTTGAATTACAGAAGTACCCCCAGAGAGTTCTCCTCTCTGGGTCCAACAATTGCACTGCTTTCACAAATACGACAAACCCACAAGTCCCAGAGCCAACAGACAATTTTAGCTCACATGAAGAAACAAGAGAGAATGGATCAAACAAATGACCAAGATGCAAAGACAGAAACCATTTTGGAGAAAGAAAAGGTAATGGATCTAACTGAAAAAGAATTAAAAATAGTAATAATTAGGTGTAATGGTTAGGGTTGTGTGTCAACTTGACTAGGTCAGGATTTCCAGAAGTTTGGCAGTTAGGATGTGCTTATTCCCATGGTGATGAAACCTAATGAAGGCACAGTTAACTCTGTGATGATTGGCTATGAGCAGTCAATCAATTAAAGGGTAGTGTGGCCTGCTCCCAATACAATGGACATGCAGAAAGGACTCTCTCTCTTCTGCTGGGTACCTGGGACTCTGTAATTGTGAGCTCTTTCCTTGACAATAAACTTCTTTCGCCAAGTATATACATATATATGTTCCACTGGCTTTGCTTATCTAGAAAATCTGGCCTAAGCCATTTAGTTCCTTCA